AGGGGTTGGGGGCACAGCCCCCCCACTGCCACCATCCCCCATCCCCTAACAGGGACACCCAGGTGGGAGAACGGCCTCAGATCAGCCCCTCTCCCCGCCTCGATGGGCCAGCTCGGTGCGACTCAGCACAGCACCAAGAGCCATTTCCAGAGGCGTCTGCCTTCTGCCATGGGTGGATGGGGCTGGGGTCACATCCGTGCACCCGGGGAGAGACGAAGGCCCCCCCCGGCGCAGCCCTGGCCCGGAGCGGGAGGGGACACAGCCGCACACGCAGCCCAGCACCCTCCCAGGGGTAACACAGCGCATCCCCTGGGCAGACGCAGGACTGATGAGAGGATTCGTCAGGTTCCCAGCTCCCCCCCACCGGATCCAGCCGAGGCAATTTCCTTCCAGCAGGAACGTCACGCTCCAGGGCCCTTCAGTTATGACTCAGAGGTTTGAGTGGAAGCGAAGGCTGTAAGACGATTATGTATAATTTTCTTTAAAGGATGCTCAATCCTTTCTCTGCCAAGGCCGAGCGGCACGTCATCTCTGTACTTGCGCCAACGATCACCCCACTACTGCTGAGGGCGGGGAGGAGGGCGACACATGTGGGGATGGGGATGGAGAAGAACAGTGGGGGGCTGCCTTGGACCCCTGTGCCCTCCTCTGCCTCGCTGCATCCCTCCCGGGTACCGCTGCATCCCTCCCGGGTACCACTGCATCCCTCCATCCCTGCACGGCTCTTATAGGGAGTCCCCCGTGGGCCAGGAGTCACTTTGGAAACAGAAGCTGAAAGGGGACACAGAGAGGTCACCTTGTTCAGACAAAGTCACCTTCAGCACCCACCTTCCCCTCCCCGGAGAGCTCGTGCTGGGAGAGGGATCCAGACCCGAAGCAGCAAAGGCGGCAGGAGCCCGGCCCCAGCACAGGGCACAGCCCCTCTGCCTGGTGGGGACCGGCTTTGGCAAAGCTTGCTAAGAGCTCAGCAGCACCGTCCCCGTGCTGTGGGCACACCAGAGCGGGGCCTCCGGCCGTGCAGGAGGGGGTGAGGTACCACTGGTCTAGCACAGGGTCCCAAAAACAGCGAGAGAGGGAGGGGAGGATGAATCCGCCCGTTGTAGGGCGACTCCGGGTTACAAGTGCAACCGATTCCCCCAGGGACCTGCTGGTGAGCTGCCCCTTGCGCCCTCCCCGACGGCTCCACCAAGTCTTGCTGCAGCTCCTGGTGGCGGGCTCGCTGCCGCTTACCTGCGCGCTTCTGCCCCGCCACGGGAGAGACCAGGGCTGGCTCAGCTGGGACGGCTCTGGCTTCGCGCAGCCAAGCCCATTGCTGCCAGAGCTGATGGCACCCACTGCACTCCCGGGGCGGGCTGTCCAGCCCTGGGCCTCCCAAGAAATACAGACCCAGCTCCCTGCACAGCTCACCACGGATGGAGGTGCCCTGGACACCCACCATCACCTTGGACACCCGGCATCGCCCCGGACACCGTCTGAAAGCACCGGCGAGAGGCTCAGGAGTGGCAGCGCCAGCCCTACCCGGCCGTGCACTCACCGACCTGCTATCGACCGGATCAGCTTCCAGCTTCTGAGCCCTGAAAGGCCGCGACTTGCTCGAAAAGGCTGAGGCACCCGACCTCAGGAGTCCCTCAGGAAGCTCCGCCGGGGATGGGGCTCTTCCCCATGGCTCAGAGCAGAGCCGCGCGCCGTGGGCCAGGCTGCAGCCCGAGAGCAGCACAGCCCGGCCATTGCCCCCCACCCCCAGTTCAGGGTTTTTCCTCTTCTCCCTCCATCCCAACTGCAGAGCCTCAAATAACCCCATCCAGAGCAAAGCTGAACACTTCTCCCCCCCTTTTTAAAAAAAAAATCCCAACAGTTCATTTGTCTTTTGTGTGCCTCTTCCCTCCTCCCCCTCCCACCCTGCTGGAAAAGCACAGTCCCAGGAGGTTGTTATGGATGCCAAGGAGGGAGGGTGAACTGCAGGCTAATTTTACCTCCTTCACCAATGACAGTTGCTGACGTTCAAATTAATGAAAATAAAAATTCAACATGGGCTGAAGTCTTGGCAACTGCCTGCCCACGCGGAAGCCAGTGACCCAGCGCTGTGCCTGTTCGAGCAGCTCCAGCCTACCTTGCCATTACCGCCCGAACGCTGCTAAAAATACAATAAATAAAAGGAGGGGCGAGAGAGGCACTGAGAACGTGCCTGTTTGTCCTTGCCACCTCTCACATTTCTTCATGGCTCCATCCAGCCCATTCAGGCACAAAAAAGGTTGCAAAATAAAACCGTGAAGAGCTTTTGGACGGCTGGGTTTGCCAGGCGCACACACGCGTACGTGAGCTGAGCTAGAAACGCACCTCCCGAGCACCGGGCACTGCTTACAGACACCAGCCCTGGCTTCATTTTCCAGCCTCAGGCTGAAGGCGAAGGGAGCGAAACGAAAAAAAAAAAAAACAAAACACCACCACCAAACCCAGAATCAAGCATTGCAGCCGTTTGCCTCTGCAGGAGGATGCGGCTGCAGCAGAGGAAGGGGTTAACAGCAGGCGAGGAAAAAGCCGAGCACAGCTTCCCAAATGTGAAACGCAGCACAAAAGCAACAAGCAAGATGCTCGCATCCATTTACTGCATACGCTGCCTCCCTCCGGATAAGGCGGCCGCCGCCTCTGGAGAGGATGCTTTGTCACATGCTCAATGCCACGGTTCTTCTCTGCTCAGCGCTTCCCTCGCAAGAGATGTTTAACACCGATTGAACCAGGGGCACGTAGCATTTAAAGCTCTCTACAGAGCTGCATAAATCTTTAAATAACCCTTTAAAAATAAAAGCACGTTCTCAAAGCCCCTTCTTCCTCTGAGGAAGGCAAGATTTAATGAGGTTCCCTCTCTTCCCCTCCCAAACTGAACACCCACTCCCACCTCTGAGTCACTCGTGCTCCTGCTCTTGCTGCCCAGCGGAACCACAGCTCAATCGATCAGTCAGTTACAAGTTGGTTTTTTTTTTTTACATTTTTATTTGAACATGGCGTCACTGTTGGAAATGTAACACTCGCATGGAGCTGAGCAAGTTCAGAAGGATCCTGCAGGAAGACTCGGGTAACAAGATTAACGTTTATCCTCCGTGCAAGCTGCCCCCCCCGCCACGCAAGCCCACCGGAGCACACCGTGCCCCCGCCAGGCTCCCTCCTGCCCCCGTTCCTTCCGTGAGCTTGCTGGCAGCACATTTCTGGCCATCACAAACACTGAACCTGTGAACTGCACCTTCGTATCCCATCTCACCAGCCCCTCTTATCCTTTTTTATTCTTTTTTGTGAACAGCCCTGTTTCAAGGGCTCTCCACCAGCCCCACGAACAGCCTGACCTCTGCCACAGCCCCATCAGGAGCTCCTGGAATGATCCATCACAGGGGACCAGTTCTCAGCTGCTCAGCGCTTCAGTCCAAGCCCAAGCTGTTCCTGCGGGGCTCGGGGCGATGCTGGCCCGTGCTTTCTGTCCCTTCTAGGGCAAGCCAAGCCAGAGGTGATCTGTCTGAGGGAGAAGAGTTTCATCCATGCTCAAGTACGTCCCCAGATCAAGGGTGGTGAAGAGCCACACGTGCTCAGGCTCAGCGACCTCCCTAAGCCAGGGCCCTGCCTGACAGCGACGGCTGCTTCGGAGCAGCACGGGAACATCCAGTGCAGAGAAATCCTCCTGCTCCGGGCAGCTCCTGGGGGATTTCCTGAGCTCCAGCCCACATCTGGACTGCTGTGTCCGATACCCCCCGAAGAATCCACCCTTCATGGATGTATCAAACTCGGTCACCAACAGTACAAAAGCGTTAACACCCAAGTGCTGGGAAGAGGACATTCAGACTGGCTGGCAACAAGGCTTTATTTCACTTTCTACTTCAGCAATTAAGCAACAACTCCTCAAATGACCAAAAGGTCGAGACCTTTCACCATTCAAGTTGCACCAAAATCAGGTCCAGCCCATCCACCCTGGCCAGCTGGAAGATGGGAAGTGCTGGCCTGTGGGGCCACAGTTAACCTTTAGGTCTCTAATCCCTCTGAAACAGCACAAATTACACATGAGGACTTAAGAAAAAAAAATACCTTGCAGTAATTTGCCTGTCATCTCTGAAATGACAGCTCTTATTTGGGTTTAAATGCTGCTGTCTGCATTAGGAGTGTATAATAGCTGATATTACTGTTCTGGAGATGATCTCCCACTACCGGAGTCACCTGCCTGTGTGGGGGTACACCC